AGGGTCTTGCTCAGAACACACATGGTTCCCATATTGTCTTAACTCTCCCCATTAGATTGGTGGGAGTGGACCCTTGTTTAAGATAAAATCTGGGAATTTTAGTCTTAATTGAAACAGAACCAGCGGCATTATGTTTCTTTTGTGATGTACATTTCTGGTGCCAAGTTTAAAGAACACTGCTGTTATATTCCTAGAGTTATTCTCAATTAAGTGTTGTGCTGTTTTAGTGGAACCACCTATGACGTCATCACTTTCCTTACAAAAACGTAAATATCTCTAAAACGAAAAAAACTATTCCAAAAAGGAAAACGCCATTCTTCTTTACTTTGAAAAGCCTTTCAAATAAGCAGCAATTGATTTTTACTTCATAGGCACTTTAACCACTAACAAACCATTTTTGTTCAACATGTAGTTTAATCTGTTTGCGATTTTCTTAAACAGTGCTGACTGCTTAGGGCCTGTCCAAACAGGAAATGTTTGGCGACCAAGCACCATCAAACGTTGTTTGGTGACCAAACATTTTACCGTTTGGCCACCTTGTTTGGTGCTGTCTGATCGTATTTGAAAAACTTTGAAGGTCACCAAACATTTGATCAAACAACTTAAAACATTTCTTTTGTTCTAGTGTTTGATGGGAGATGTTTTGTTCGTTTGGACAGCTGTATCAAACATGTTTGGCGCGCGCATGCGTCCCACGCTTGCTCAGCGGATTGTATCCATAGTTTGATCTGTTTTTGTTCAAACATGTTTTAATTGTTTGGCCACTCACTTCAACATCAACATGTTTGGTCACCAAACAATGTTTGATGATGTTTGGTCACCAAACATTTACCGTTTGGACAGGCCCGGCCTTTATCGCTTAATGCATTCACGTCCATTGTGCATAGCTCATCCACTCTATTACAGCGTTTTCGCTCACGTGGCCAGCACCCATGTAAATTTATTGGAACAAAATAAAGTGTTTACATAAGAAAACAGTTGTATTCCCACAGGACTGGCTTGGTACTGACCGTACACCGACATGGCCGCCGTTTCATTGTTTTGGAACACCAACATGGCTGCCGTGACGTCGTGTGAA